CATAAAACACACAGATAAAAGCATAAAACGTAAAACACGCATAAAACATAAAACGTCATAAAAAACCCATATAAAACGTAACGCGCATAAAACAACACACCTATAAAAACGTAAAACACATAAAACGTTCATAAAACACATAAAAACCCATTCCGAAGCGTATGGAACGCATAAAAAAACCCCCATAAAAAACTCGGACATAAAGCGAACAAATGCGTTTTTTGTACCGTTAGCGTTTTTTTATGTTTTTGTGTGTGTTTGTTTTTTTTTCTACTTTCTTGTGTTTTTTCTATGTGTTTTATTCATTTTATATTACATATAAAATGAATAAAACACATAGAAAAAACACACATAAAAGACGTATAAAAAACAAACACGAACGAACACATAAAAAACACTAAACTAATGCGTTTTTTGTACCGTTTTTGTTTTATACTACATAGTGTGTTTTTTCTTCAGTGTTTTTGATATAAATAAATATATTCTTTTTTTTTTTTATAAAAAAAAAAAAGAATATATTTATTTATCAAAAACACAAAGAAAAAACACGGTATAAAAAAAAACATACCATGCAAAACAGGCTAACATACAAAAAGCGGAAATACAAAAAAAAGCACCACACACACACACACAAACTATCTGTCCAAAAACACCCGCGGCTCGGGAGCGCCGGAGAAGCGGCGCGGCGAACTTCTCCTGGATAGTTCCCACAAGCAATCACTTGCACCTCATCAAGTGGGGAAGCCACTCAGTACAAAGTAAAAAGCCTGTATTATGTCTTGCTCCGTCGTCCATCGCCCATAATGCAAGGCTACGCACTGTAATAATACCCCCGATGTTAGTGGGTACGGTTTTAACACCGTTCGGATAGAAGAGAGAGTGAAACTCAGTGAATAAAGGAGAACTTGCGGGTGTTTTTGGACCGGGGCTTTCGTGTGTGTGGGGGTGTATGCGCGTTTTTTGTACCCGTTAGCGTGTTTTGTACCGTTCGATATAAGTTTATACCGTATATTGCGTTTTTTGTACAATTATATATACGGTTTATACCTATATTGCGTTTTTTGTACAATTAGCGTTTTTTGTACTATCGACTGTACGAACAGAGTATCCGTGTTTTTTGTACAATTAGCGTGTTTTTTTTTGTACAATTTTTAGAAACTGTATAAAAACAGTATCTAAAAATTGTACAAAAAAAACAAGCGGATACTCTGTATAAAGACAGTTTTGCATGTATCTAAAAATTGTACAAAAAACGCTAATTGTACAAAAAACGCGGATAATGTACTGTACGAACAGTATTTAAAAATTGTACAAAAAACGCTTATTGTACAAAAAACGCTAACTTACAAAAAACGCGAACAGCCGTCCAAAAACGCGGCTTTGAACCATAGCCGGCGAACACCTCAAGATTCAATTAGTTAGTTAGTTATATCTTGGGGCCCTTGAGCGGTCGTTGAGCCCCCACAAGCCCGCTTAGCTCAATAGGAAGAGCATAATACTTCTAATATTAGAGTTCGGGTTCGACCCCCGAAGCGGGCTGTATGGCTTTATTTCGATCGCTCTTTCTAAAATCCGAGCTGCGTTTTTTGACTTGCGTTTTTTGTAACGATATATACGTATATATATATATACGTACAAAAAAACGCGGAAGTAAGGTCAAACCCCACACGCACTTTCTAAGCGCCGTGATTACAGGATACATTTTTCCCGTCAGGGATTACGAGGGTACGGTTAAGGCCCCGTTAAACTGGTACGACGTCACCGGTCGCCTTTCCTTTCCTTTCCTTTGGAAAAAATGTACGAATTCATACGGTCAAAACTAGGCCAATCCCGCTGTGGCCGTGGCTGTGCCGTACGGCAGATCCCTACGGATGGGGCCCCAGCTCGGCTTTCCCGGGGGGGGCGTAGCCGCCCCCCCCCGCCGTCAATCTTCATAAAATCTGAGGTTAATTTCGCCTTCTTCAAGGTTGAGTGAATTCGAGGGTAGAAGCTATGAGACGTTGACCCTTTGGAATAACCGTGACTATTCCAAAGCCATGTAACCGACGGGAGGTAAGTTAAGCCTATTGGGTTAGAGGGTGAAGTTAAACCGAATGTCAAGGGTAGGGGGCCCGAAGGGCCCTACCTTCGTAACCGAATGTCAAGGGTGACCACAATTTCCCCCTCTCAAAACTTCATTGATTACCGTAGGCAATCCCACAGCATATGCGACCTGGCTACTATGTAGCGTGACCTTAGGTCATTTTTTAATAGAATGTATACAAGAAAAGGGATTTTACTAATTTTAAATTAAATCAAATTTCGGGTACTAACAATCCCGGATAACTTGTTATAGCCGCTTATATTGCATATTGGGGGGCAGCTGATGGAGTGAATCTTATGGCTAATCTTTACTTTTCGGTAGACTCTATCTGCGATAACCTTTTGATTACTAAGGAACAGCTAATACGCTCCCTTGATTTTGGTGAGAGTTTTACTCAAGAGATCAAGCTATACACTGAAGTTACGGTTGAGCGGACATACGGGTTTGAACCAATCGAATTAAGTTCCAGCCAAATTGCCCGTATTTTCGAATTTAATCTGCGTTTTTGGACCGGGACCTTACAGTCCCAAATGCGTTTTTTGACTGCTGTTTCACAGCCGTCACGCGGCTTAAGGGAGCCACCGTGGCCGGTGGCGGTGGCGGTGGCTGGCTGGCGGGGGGGGGTAGCCCAGCCCCGCCAGCCAGGCACAGCCACGGCCACAGCGGAAGCTAAGGTAATAGGCTATTCCTCTCCTCGCAACTTTCCAGTTGGTACCTCAATTCAAGCCATAATCGATTGCTTTATGAACTCATAGTCTAATCATTACCTCCCGACACTTCTCTTGCCCATCTTTTTGTTTGCCCCCCTGGGTTTTATCTTCCTTGTTCCTTCCCTTTTGCTTTCTTTGTCCTTTAGTTGGCTGGGCCATCTTTTTGTTTGCCCCCCTGGGTTTTATCTTCCTTGTTCCTTCCCTTTTGCTTGATGTGTCCTTTAGTTGGCTGTTGCTTTCCTTCAACCGTATTCATGCTACTATCTATCTTCTGCTTTCACTGAAAATATAACAATCCCCCTCCCCCCTCCCCCCCCACTCTCCGGCGTTTCTTTTTTCGTCTGTTTT